CACCAAGTGGTACGATGGGACAAACATCTCTTCACTGGCTGATCTGTAAGTATGATCTGTTCTGTCCACATTTCAGTAACTACACAGTTAGCAGGTGAGCTGAGCTGGAGAAGAATGAAGGTGAGATACAGGATCAAACTGGCTGGAAAACTTAGTTAGACTTAACTTAGTTAAAATTATAAAAACAAAGACAGAAGAGTTTATTGATCAGTGAGGCCAAAACAAGCAATAAAGGACAGAGAGAGTCAGAAGTTACTGAGATTACAGAGAAATGTGACGAGCAAACAGGAAAGAAGATCATTAACAGTTTGTTCAGAAAATTTTCTCACTTCACTCTGATACAACCTTTAAGAGCAGGAAGTAAAATCAGCTTTAAGCTGGATGTTAAAGGCTTAATATGAGTTTACTGGAGTGAGCTGCAGTGTTGGACACTTTAAAAGTTATCTAAGAGGACCAGTCGTCCAGGATGTCCAGACGTACTAACTAACTTGGCATCGATTTGTAACTCATTGGGGGAAGCCACTTGGTGTCACTTATGAACACTAAAAGCTGGTGTAGGATACTTAAAAGAAATGTCAGAGAAAAGGCACGGTTGGGGGGATCTGTGTTTTCCGTGTCAAACAACAAAAAGTCAACACTGATTTTTTTTTTTGTGAAGTTACTTGTTACATAACAAGTTACAAGAAGTTACTTGTGTTACATAAGTTATGGAACGCGAGTTACGTTTTTTATCCCTAACCATGACCTTTTCATGGTTAGGGTCATGGTTTTTCCTGAGATTTAAGATCCTTTGATGTTAGCAGAAACCTGCTTTATACTTTTATCAAGACATTTTAGCCAGTGTTCTTCTTTATGCTGTGCTTTGCTGCGGAGGCAGCATTACTGAAATGAATAAACAGGATCAATACGTTGTTTAAAAAGACTGGCTCTGTGATTGGCCTGGCCCCTGACCCACTGGAGGTCATTATAGAAAAGAGAACAAGTGCCAAACAAAGAATGTCATGGAGCTTGTAGACCGACCACTCCACAGTGTCTTTAAGACACTTACTAATTCCTTTAGTTTTTTTAGTCTAACCGGACGTTGCATATTTATTACTGCTAACTTTACTGTGGAGCCCTACATGTCCAAAAATGACACAAAAAGGTACCCAGGGCATTAAAAAGCAACAAGGGGTCTTGACCAAGCGTCTATATGTGACGAGTGAGAATGTGTTGCTACAGTTGTTGTGTCTGCAGTAAAACCTCAAACCAACCTGGGTGTGATTTCTCTTTAGTTCTGACCTCACTGCTGTGCTCCTGGGTTCCTCACATCTGGGCCGGATCAGGATTCTGTTGCTATAAAGATGAATATAGTGATGCTGGGTAGAGAGGAGAGTCAAACAAAGCCTTTCAGCCTGAAGTGAAGTTACTCTTTAATGAAACCACCATCTTTACTGAACCTTTACTGAGAGCTGCTGAAAAACAACCAAACTACAGTTCAACCTGCTGCAGCTGCCACTCGCAGATCATGCAGGAACACAAATGAGACACGCTGACGATGAAAAGTGTTTCTTCATCACGTTGATGAAAATGTGACCCTTCAGCTTTTTGTTTCACTGTTTCACATCAGCGCTGCCTGAATGTAAGTTTTAGGAAGCAGCGTTGGTTCATGAAGTTTCTGAAGTTTTTTTTGAGACATAAACATGTTTCCACTGCTCGAGAACTCAGAGAACACATTTAAACCTGAGGCTGTGATTTACAACATGAAACATCTTTGAGTCTTTACTGTCTGCAAATGAAGGAACGAGCTGTAATGAAACCATCACAGAGGCTGCTTCAGGTTCAGGTTTTGGTTTCAGGGTTTCTCCTTTGTTGCACTTAAAGGGTTATTTAGTTTGGAAAAACATGCTAAAGATCATCAGTGTGTCATGTCAACCCTCCAGCCTCTCTGACTGTGAGTCCCAGCAGCTCTCAGCTGTTTGAAGAAGAGTCTGTCTCTCTGAGCTGTGAGGAGGACGACAGCTCTGCTGGATGGACGCTGAGGAGGAACACAACCAGAGGAACCAGGACTCTGGGGAAGATCAGCTGGTTCTTCCTGTTACATGAGCCAAATCTTCCCATGGGACAGTGGAGTTTACTGGTGTGAGTCCAGAGAGGGAGCAACCAGTAACACCATCAACATCACTGTCACTGGTAAGATCAGACTGTGGAGTTAGTGTTGATGAAGCTGTGTGTAAATGATGAAATGCTGTAGTTTGTCTCTGTGTTGAGGTGGACCAGTGATCCTGCAGAGTCCTGTCCTCCCTGTGATGGAGGGACATGATGTCACTCTGCACTGTAAAACAAAGACCCCTCCCTCCAACCTCCCAGCTGGTTTCTATAAAGATGGCTCCCTCATCAGGACTGAGCCTACAGGTCACATGACCATCCACCATGTTAACAAGTCTGATGAAGGCCTCTACAAGTGTAACATCAGAGGTCGTGGAGAGTCTCCATCCAGCTGGATCTCTGTCACAGGTGAAGAGGTTACCTTTGATTTCAGGACTTATTTCACCTGACCAGGTGGATTCTCTCTACAGGTAAACCTACAACCACAGCCCCGCCCACCTCTGTAGCCCCGCCCCCGGCCTCAGTCCCCCTCCAGCTTGTGTTCAGACTGGTCTGCCACCTGGTGGTGTTCTGTCCATACTGCATCTCCACTGTCCTCATGGTGTGTTTATATCGACGCAGGCCCACAGGTAACACTCTGACTCATTCACTGACCTCACAATCAATCAATCAATCAATCAATCAATCATCAGTCTCTCTCTGGTGTTGATCATTGAGTTGTCTCTAACAGAAGCTCTTTTTTCTTTTCTTTTTTTCTAACCTGCTCTGACTTTAGGAAATGACCTGCCCGTCTCCATGGTGATGATCCCGCCCACCCAGGTTGAGGAGGGATTGGATGATGGCTATGATGACGTCATCAGCTGATCAGAGATCAAAGTAGTTCACCCTGCTGATCATTACATGGTTCACTTTAAAAGAGACGTCAGTACAAACTGTTGTTTCTGTGAAGACCATCCAGAAACTGTTTGCAGCTCTCCTGGTTCTGTTTACACACCAGAACATTTTGGCAGATTCATCACTGACTGTGTTTATAAAGACTTTATTGTGGGAGAATGAGGTGTCCACAGGTAACACTCTGATTCATTCACTGACCTCACAATCAATCAATCAATCAACCAATCATCAGACTCTCTTTGATGTTGATAATTGACAGTTGTCTGTAACAGAACTGATTGATGATCTACATTTTCTTTCTGACCTGCTCTGACTGCAGGAAATTACCTCTGAATCATTCACTGGCCTTAAATCTTTATTTTAATTGTCCACAAATGTGGAAATTTGTCTTTGGCTTCACAGGCAGATTAAAAAAACAATAAACAAAAAAAAAAACACAATAACTAACACAACATACACACAGACCATAATGGGTAGCAGTCCAGTAAACAAGGGGTGTACAGAGTCAGAAGCAATTTCTCTAACTCTTTGTTTCACCTGCGTTCTATTAATACATCCCAATTGTTTCTGCTCTTTCCCAATAATCTTAACAGCCAAATTTGTAATTCTGCACAATCTGTTTTTGTCCTTAACCCCCAAATTTCAAGTTCAAGTTAGAAGGCTTTCGATGAGACTTCAATAAACACTCTCTAGGCTATTCTTGCATATGTCGTATGAAATTATATCCAATTTCCACAGAAAGTAGATACAGACGCTGCATTGCTTTCTTAAAAATGTATTCTGTGTTGGCTGTAAAACTTAATTTACAATCAAACATGGTTCCTAAGTATTTAACCTCATCAACTATCTCAGCAGGCTTATCGTGAAGCACTGTTGTGTCTCATGATCACTATTGATTCCATTAATAGAGAGATTTGAAATGTTGACTGCTTAGCTGTGTCTCCCATCTGCATAAGACCAACTACCACCATGTCATCAGCACATTTATTCAATTGAGATGTTGGATTCACAATCTGCATTTTGTTTATATATAAAGAGAACAAAACAGGTGAACGCACACAGCCTTGAGGTGCTCCTGAAGTTAAGGTAACTGTATCAGAGAAAATACCACTACTGCACTTCACTCCCTGTGGCTGGTCCGTAAGGAACTCTTCAATGTGGCTGTTGGTGTTTATATCACAAGGTCGCTTAATCGGAGCACATTTCTGCATACAATTATCCAAAGCGACTTACAATTGCTATACATGTCAGAGGTCACACGCCTCTGGAGCAGCTAGGGGTTAAGTGTCTTTCTCAGGGACACATTGGTGGATGGGTCACAGTGGGGGATTGAACCCAGTGGCGCATGATGCAGCGCTCTGTATGCCTCTGAAATGTTATCAAAACATTTATCTAAAGTGCGCGTGTGTCTCATCGGACAGTCAATGTACTGATGGAGCGTGGGGAGATGGCGTGCTAAGTTAAGTTGTTAACAGTTGTTAAAATCCCAGAGAATGAACACTGGCTGATCCGGTGACCGTAGGAGTGCAGTGTCCCAGCTATCATTTATCATGCATCCTCCTGATGTTTTGGTCCAGGCACATATGTCAAGATGATTGGAATCTGTCCAAATTCCCGTGGCAGGTAAATGAGACCGTCAGAATTTCATAGTCCGGGGTACAGATCTGTTCATGGATATACGTAGTCCTCCGGCAATTGATTTATTTGACAGTTGTTCATCTCTGTCTGCCCTAATTATTGCGTAACCTTCAACAGAGAGTGTTGCTTCTGGTTTAAGCCAGGTCTCCGTTAAGCATTTAAAATTACAAAATTTTAAATATTCTTCAAACTTCAGTCTTGCTCTGAGCTCCTCAATTTTATTACTAAGAGAGACCAGAGCTTCACAGGTTGCCACTGGTGTCCTCTTCCACTCCTCTATGACGGCATCACGGAGCTGGTGGATTTTAGAGACCTTGCGCTCCTCCACCTTTCGTTTGAGGAGGCCCCACAGATGCTCAGTAGGGTTTAGGTCTGGAGACATGCTTGGTCAGTCCATCACCTTTACGCTCAGCTTCTTCAGCGAGGTAGTGGTCGTCTTGGAGGTGTGTTTGGGGTCGTTATCATGTTGGAATACTGCCCTGCGGCCCAGTCTGCTCTCTCTCTTTTTGTCTGCTGTTCCTGTCTGTCTCTACTGCAGAGTTAATTACAAACCAGACATTTGTGTGTCACTGTTTTCTTCCTACCTCTACCTCCCTGTCTCTGCCAGGCCTACAGCAGCACCCTACCTCACAGCACTGGTACTGGAAGACCGGGTGTCTCTGGCTCTACTGATTCCAGCAACATCCTAGTTCACGAACACAGTATAGGATGTAACCATTGCAGGAAAATGTTTTCTCACACACTGCTCTCAACATTGGAATACACATGAATGGAGACAAGTAAGTCTGGTAAATGGCAGATGTAGAAAGGATTATGGTTTTCTGTTCTGACAAAAGTAACTTTATTGACAAATATATTATGTTAAACTCTCTCGGATGACGTGTTTAATTTTGACTGAATGTCCAAATTTAAGTAACCTAATCGAGTTGGTCAGCCCATCTCAGGACCGGGCCAGCCGTAGCCAACTGGGCCAAATGCTTAATATATTTATTACTATATATTATTTGGCATATTAGTATTATAGATAACCATAGTAAACAAAAGCAAGTGTTAAAACCCAATCGACACAGTTGTCCTATAAAAAATATTTATTTATATATTTAGTGTTTCCCACAGTATGTTTATATTTCTAGCATCTTTGGTTATTTCTTGTTTAACCATTTTAATTCTACTTCATTCTCCACATTTATTTTAGTGTTTACTCACTAGTCTACTTGAACCTGCTCTCTTTGCCTTCAGCTCTAATATTCCGTAACACAGCGGCTTGGCTTACCTCTTTCTTTTTCTCTCTCCCTGTATTGGTGGGCCCTCCCTAGACTTTCTCCATCAGCAGTGGGCTGTTTTATAAAGTGGCCGAAAAGACAGATGTTTGTGAACAAACCGTCTGTTTCATCTGATTTCACCATTTAAACAGTAACCGTAATATAGCTACTCCTTTGTGGCCCAGGGAGAAAGTCCCAGACTCCCTTCAACAATCCTGCAGTTTAGTGACGTGTTGAGTTAGAGGACACTTTAGAAACTTTGTGAAACGCTGTCTACGACTAATTCTTAATGATTCTGCCTTCTTGTAAATTCAACATTAAATGTAACACATGAAGTCATTTCTGTCTTTGTTGTACAAAAAGCTTCAGCAGGATATTTTCATGAGCCTCTGATGTGATAATAACAAGCGCTTCATTAAAACTCTGCTCTGTGTGAAGCACACTCCCTCATACACATCAAATATGATCAGCTGGTTTCAGGAAACCAACTAACTAAACTTCATCTTCTGCCTGAAATCAAGGAGCCATGTTTCTAAACGGCCTTAGCGACAGTAACTAAGGGGCGGGGCGAGACGCCGTGACATCGCGAGAACACTCCGCGGGATCCCGCAGCGCTCCTGTATCTCAGCCTGAAGAGCTCCGAGACCAGAATCCAGACTCAGTCCAGGACAACACGGTCCACCAGTCACAGCGGAGACCTGCAGGACGATGGAGAACCAGAACCCGGACCACAGGAGCCAAACAGCAGCCTCGTGCTCTGATAGCGCCGATGTTCAGGTCAGTGTTCATGACTTCATCACGAGACTAAAGACACGAGGAAGAGTCTCGAGGGTCCGTGTATCATCCGTTCATTCTGTTGTTAGAGATCAGAGCCTGAAAACCCGCTCCAGGGTTTGTGTTGACGTGGTTTGATTTCCAAAGTGTCTCCGTGGTTCCTGTTTTCATCTTGAAGAGAGGAAGCTGAAAGAAAAACTCACGAGCGTTTCTCTTTTCTTTGTGCTGTGAGTTTCCCGCGTTGCGCATGCGCGTTGCAGCCAGTGTTGTGTCGGGAGCGCGCAGCAGAAACAATGCTGGTGAAAAGTGAAGCAGAGTCATTATATTTCCTCGTGTGTTGGTGAGTTTATCACAGTGACAAAAACAGTCTGCCTGCGTTATTATTCTCTGAATTATCTGAGATGAGCTGCAGTTACTTCAGCTGTTTCTGAAGTTACACAACAATTTATTTATTTTATCAGTTACATGCTTTCAATGGTAATCTAATACAACCTGCACAACAGCTTGATCAAAATGTGTGACAATCAGTAATCCTGTTAAATAATAGTGATCTCAAGTTTGACCAAAACAATCCTGATTGTGATCATTACCATAATCAAGCAGCTGTAGCTGCCATATAATGCAGTGGGTTTGATGACTGACCTGAATATTTTTATTACAGCAGGCTGTAACTGGTGGTTGAATGTTTATATTGATCTCTTGATACCATAGAAAGCCCCTTTATGCCCTGTCTTTCACAGCCAAGCAAAAATTTCCTCACATTTCAATGATTTGTTTGACACATTGCTGTGAAGCTGGTTTTGTTTCTCTTCTGGAAAATGAACACTTTGATTTTGGGTTGGTTGATTGTCAGGGTCCAGATTGACAGGAGTTTGTGTGTTGCTGTAACCGCCCCACTTCAAGTTATTTTATGTCCCTTCTGGTTTATCATTGTGATCTGGTTGGAAATCTGTGACACGACCCCCATAAGGTTTTTTTTAAGACAAAGACCCCCCGATCTGCACATCACTAGAACCCACCTATGCAGCACATCTTACTGAGTATTGTGCACATTAAATAGCAGTGAAAGTAACGCAAAAGCAATTTGCAATTTTTGACACTCAATTATGAGAAAAATTAAATTAAATTAAAATCTAATGTTTTTCTAAAGTTAAAAGGTGAGTACATATATGGGAGAGGTCCTGTATTTATATGGTATGCTTTTATGCTTCAACCTTTTGTGTGTAAAAAAAAAAAAAAATAAAATAAAATAATAATATAATAATAATATAAATAAAATAAATAAATAAATTACAACTTACATTTATGAAGAAGACAAAGATTTGTTACAAATCACATGACTGTGAGAACAGCGAACTTTTACAAGTGACGAACTGTATTGCAACAACAAGGAGACAGTATATCATTGGGGTTTTTTGGGGGGCGGGGTTGTTTTTATTCAGTGTCCCATGCTTCACACATGAATAAATCAGTTCAGTTCAACTTTTAGACTCCGAGTCTATTAGATAAACATGCAACATTATAGACCCACAACACATCTTAAAATAAAAAAAGGACAAACAAAATTTGAATTCAACATTTGCGCTTTTTTAAACTAAAAGACCAGTTCTTCAGGGATCTGCAGGTAACAACAACTGACTAGATAATATAGGATTATTGTCATCACTAAACTGAAGTGGAAACAGCTTCACTGCAGCACAACTGCTGTCCAAGAATAGCGAAGCAGCACAAACACGTGAAACGAAAGTATCTCGCAGCACTTTGTCTAGACGGCTTCACCGCAGATCTTTTTACTTTTGTTGCCACATAAGCGCGGCACATCGTAGTATTTCTTCATTGCCTTGATGTTAAAAGTAATTTCTGCCCTGCTGCTGTCATGGAAACGTAACGTTACACCGCGAGTCATGTAACGATCAGCTGTTTCATATCGAGTCCTTTCAGGTGTTCACTGATGCAGAAATACATTTTATTATCATGCTGCATTACTTAATATTGAAATTAATCCATGGCAGAAACATTTAAAGTTTTAAGTAAAGTAGCCTAATTAATTTGATTCATTTTAAGATTTGCTGCAATTGTCATTATTCTAATGTGCTTCATCAGGATGATTGAATACAATATAGATTTATTGATAAGACATGTTTTTGGTATTTATTTTGGTTAAATTGGTTTGTTAATCGAGTAATAGGCAACTTTTCTTTCTTTGATGTCTGTGGAACATATGCTGTGTTCCAGATATCCAACCGACCACAAAGCGTTTCAGGTGCATGACGCTAAATGTAAATCAGTGTAAATGTCATCAGTTGGTAATCAAAAGCTTGGGTACAGAAGATGACTTTCAGAGATTGTTTACCATCACCAGCTACCTAATAACATTTACAATGTGTGCTTCCATGGGAGCTGCCATTGTTGTGCGATGTCATTCGGCAGCTGCTCGTGAAGTTGGGTATGTATTTTTTCCTCTAACTTCACAAGTAGTAGTGTAGTTTTACAGTACTTTTCTAGGAGGTCAGAAATTTCCCTGTTCTGAGTTGCCTGGAATGGAGCAAGAGCCCACAAGGTTCAAGCTTGACAAATGCATTAGCACCTGTGACAACCAACTGTAGGTGTGTTTCCACAGAGGGGTCTAGAGTGGCACTGACCTCCTATAGGAACTTGATTTGCAACTTTTTCTGGTTGACATGATTGCTGTTTTGAAAACTTCTTTGGAATTACTTTAAAATCTATTCAAAATTGTGTTTTGCCCTATTTGGCATGATTTCCAAAGTGTTTTTTGGTCCTCTACAAAATCGCAAAGCATCCGTATTTATTTTTCCGTAATAATACACAAGGGAACTTTGACTGATTAATTCATTAATTTTATGAAAAATCACGTGGTGCGACAATCAACAAACAACCACTTTTGGACTTTTATGTTGAAATCCATTAGAAGACAGGAAGTTGAATAATGTACCATTTGCCAAGGACCCATTGAAACAGGAAGTATGTTTGTAACTCTCTCAAATCTGGAAAAATTTAAAATAGTAACAGCTGGTATGTAGTTGTCACTTTTGGATATCATGTGGTATGACCTCGGAAAAACAATATATTTCTACCAATATTTGTTTTGATTATAAATTCCACGGAGTCCTTTTTTAAGGAAGCTAGCTTGTTTGTTCAGGTGGCCTATTCTCTGCCTGTAAATTTTGACTAAATTTAGAAAATATCATGTGGTGCGACCAAATATCATGCGTCTGTTGAAAAGTGGTTTCCATGATTGCCAATTTAGTTTTTTTACCTTTTTATATCCAATTTATGATGTTTACATATAAAGTACCTTTTATTGTAGTATAATTTGCAATTCAGATTCAACAACCCCAATTCCAGTGAAGTTGGGACGTTGTGTAAAACGTAAATAAAACCAGAATACATTCACTTGCAAATCCTTTTCAACCTATATTCAATTTAATACACTATAAAGGCCAGATATTTAATGTTCAAACTGATTAACTTTATTGTTTTTGGCACATATTCACTCACTTTAAAGTTGATGCCTGCAACACTTAAAAAAAAAAAAAAAAAAAAAAAAAGCTGCACAAAAAACTACTTTATCTTAGGTTTACACTGGTCTAATTAGTGTCAGCTGCTTCTAGATAGCTCGCTCCACCATGACCTCTCACTGTCTTTCTCTCTTTGTCTGTTGCTATAGAAACGGAGGGGACTCAAACGTCACAGCTGTCAGCACTGTGACAAATCCTTCACAAGATCTGGATCTTTAAAGGTTCATCAGAGAGTTCACACTGGAGAGAAACCGTACAGCTGTGACCAGTGTGGGATAAATTTCGCTAGATCAGGTGAACTAAAAAAACACCAACGTGTTCACACTGGAGAGAAACCGTACAGGTGTGTGCAGTGTGGGAAAAGATTCTCTCAATCAAGTACCCTTCAAAAACATCTACGTATTCACACTGGAGAGAAACCTTACAGCTGTGGGCAGTGTGGAAAAAGTTTCACTACATCCAGTACCCTTGTAAAACACAGACTTGTTCACTCCGGAGAGAAACCGTACCGGTGTGAACAGTGTGGGAAAGCTTTCACTGCATCAGGTAACCTAAAACTCCATCAACATGTTCACACCGGCAAGAAACCGTACTGTTGTGAACAATGTGGGAAACGTTTCTCTCAATTAGGTGGCCTAGAAACACACAGACGTCTTCACACCGGTGAGAAACCGCACTGGTGTGAAACATGTGGGAAAACCTTTACTAATCTTAGTAGCCTTAAACACCACCAACGTCAACATCACGCTGCTTAGTTTTGGGAAAAGAGCCAAGCGAGCTGTTTCCTCCTGCCTCCTACTCATGCTGTCTCTGTAATAAGCCTGAATGTAAACCTCTTCTAGAAAAATCCAGTGCTGGTTTGAATGGACCTCTGTGCACTAACTCAGTCCTCAAAGGCTGATAAGACTGGGGCCAATCTGGTGGAGCAGCAACTGTTCCAGTAGGGTCTGAGCTGCTTGTATCTGGCGGCGCTCATACTGGCTGTGGATCAATAGTGTTTGTACTGGCTGACCAGCATCTACTCTGCTGACAAACTGAAGCATAGCCTTAGTCAATTCTTTATATATATATATAATATATTAATTATAATATATATATGTGTATATATATATATTATATTATATATATGTGTATATTATATAATATATTATATGTATATATATGTATGTATGTGTATATATTATATATATATAGATATATATATATATATATATATGTATATATATATATATGTATATATATATATATATGTATATATATATATATATATATATATGTATATATATATATATATGTATATATATATATATATATATATGTATATATATATATATGTATATATATATATATATGTATATATATATATATATGTATATATATATATATGTGTATATATATATATATTATATATATGTATATATATATATATATATATATATATATATGTATATATATATTATATATATGTATATATATATATATGTATATATATATATATATGTATATATCTAGATTATATTAATGTTCTCAGCAGCATCTGGCCCTTTCAAACTGGCTCCCCCTAGTTTTCAAATGTAAAATACTATGTATACTTTGCCATGACTGAATATGTGATGCTTATTAAATGAAGTATGTCCAAATTAAACAGTCTGCCCTGCTAATCAACATTTTAATCACTGTCAATCCACTATTTTCCATCTTGCATTAGTCCAGAGTTGTAACTAAACATCAACTGAGAAACAGATGATCAGATGAGGAGTAACTGCACAATAACTTAACATCAGGCTGCTGTTATGGGCCGACATCAGACTTTGAGAGGCGAGAACAAGTTTACCTGACTGCTGTTTCTGAAAGTCACTCTCATTGAGTTTTCTTTCTCTTTTTGTGCACATCCTCTCATCGACGTTTCAGAATGGTTATAACGTGCTGTTTCACGTTAACAAAGAGTTTAATTTTCAAAGTGTTCGCGGATGTTGCAGATGTATTGTTGCTAACAAAACGCGGAGCCCTAAAAGTCCAAAATTTACTCCAAAGGCGTGGTGGGAGCGAGGGTCTCGGTGTAGGTCAAAGTTCAGACAAGAATACGGGATTTGAACAAGAAGACGATAACATGAATTAATGGCGCAGCAGAGGCAGCTAGTTGGTAACCACAGGTCACACAAAAAAGGTTGAAAGCATAAAATCATACCATATCCATACAGGACCTCTTCCATATATGTACTCACCTTTTAACTTTAAAAAAACATTTCTACCAATATTTGTTTTGATTATAAAGTTAATGGAGTCCTTTTTGTAGGAAGCTAGCCTGTTTTGTTTAGGTGGCCTATTCTCTGCCTGTAAATTTTGACTAAATTAGAAAATATCATGTGGTGCGACTGTTGAAAAGTGTTTTCCATGATTGGCAATTTAGTTTTTGTCCTTTTTTTTTTTTTTTTTTTTTTAATCCAATTTATGGACTTTTACATTTAAAGTACTTTTATTGTAGTATAATTTGGAATAGATTTTTCTGCTATTGACACACTTTTTCTTATATTTCAGAAACAACAAATTGTTTTTAGTCTTTGTACAATCATGAGAAAATGCAAAAGAAATATTTATTTAGAGCTTGTAAATTGAAATTGTTGAAGTTGAACATGGGGTGGTGATGGTACAGTGGATAAGACACATGCCTTGGTGTGAGAGACCTGGGTTTGAATCCACTGTGAGACACCAGAGGCGTGCAACCTCTGACGTATATAACAATTGTAAATCGCTTTGGATAAAAGCGTCAGCTAAATGATTTTTTTATTTTTTTTAGTGATGTGGGACAAAATGTTATTCCTTGCAGCTGAATAATCTTATCTTTAAAAATAAGCATTTTATTAATGTTTGTTTCTATAAAGATCAATGCCCACATTGTTTTATTCTGTTTTCTTCTATTGTGTTTGTAGACATCCTCAATAAAAATGCATTAATCATGCTTGATTTGTTCTTGTTTTTCTATTTGTGCCTGAAAGTGCGAACGTACTTATTTGTCGCCATTGTTGGGAGTAATGTTTACAAAA